CTTAAAGTTATTATGGACAGATGTGGGAATGGAACAACGTGTATTACTTTTATTAACAGACGCAGCGTCATATATGGTGAAAGCAGGGAAGTCTTTAAAGATATTTTATACTAATATGATCCATGTAACGTGTACCGCTCATGCTTGTAATCGTCTTGCAGAAAAAGTAAGGGAGTTATTTCCAAAAGTTAATACTTTAATTAATAATGGGAAGAAAATATTTTTAAAAGCGCCGAGTCGAATCTCTATTTTTAAAGAAGAAATGAATGATATCCCTTTACCATCTGTTCCAGTTCTTACAAGGTGGGGAACATGGGTAAATGCTGCGTTATATTACGCAGATTATCTTACCAAATATAAAAAAGTTATCGAGAGACTGGCAATGGATGATGCGCAAAGTATTAGAAAAGTTTTGAATATAATTGAAGATGGTACTGTTGTCAATGATTTAACATTTATATCAACACATTTGGCATTTTTAGTGATAGTCATAAAAAAACTGGAAACTCAAAATATGACTTTACATGAAAGCTTTTCAATAATTGACGAAACCAACGAAAAAATTAATTCTATTCCTGGGCCAAAAGGTGCAACACTTACTACAAAATTAAATGAGCTTTCCAATAAAAATAAAGGTCTAGAAATTCTACGAAAAATAAATGCAGTACTATCAGGCGAAAACGTTCAGCTAGAAGATGTTTATCAAGACCCGAAAATAATAAGTTGCTTCAAATATGCCCCAACAACTTCGGTTGACGTCGAATGTTCGTTTTCAGTATTTAAAAATATGTTAACTGATAAACGTCATAGCTTCACTGAAGAAAAACTTGAAATGCATATGATCATTCATTTTAATAGTAAATAAAATTAAAAAAATGTAAAGAGAAATTTATATAAGTATTTAATATTTTAGTATTTAAGTAATTAATTGTTATAAGAAGTTTAATTTGTAAATTGTAAATAAATAAAAAAATGAATTTCATGATATTTACTGCATATTTTTTGCATATTTTCATTATTTTTACTGCATATTTTTTGCATATTTTCATGATTTTCACTGCATATTATATGGCATTTTTTGATACTTTTTAGTGCATAAAAATCCGCGCTCTACTTATAAGTCATAACTCAATAATTATATAGTGTTGTTATTATAATTTATTATTATATTATAGTTATTTATTGGCCACCACATTACATTTGACATTTGACAACAACATTAGATTATTTGACGGACGACCGCGACGGCCCGTATATGTCTATTCATATTTTATTGAACAGTATTAAATTCTAAATAGTATAATGATCCAACAATAAATAATAAGATAATCATATAATTACTGAGAACCAATTATTTATACAGGTACAATACCAGAAAAAACTTAAAATAGAACGGGCTTTAAATTGTGTGCGTGATCGTACGCCCATCACGGCATCACCGCTGCTGCAGTGTGTGGGGAGCGAAGACAATTTATAATTATAACATTAAATATTTAAATATTAAATACCTAATTATTTAATTTTTAAAAATAACCGTATTTTTAATTGTTCCCTAGTCTCCCCTACACTGTTTAGAACATAATATTTCAATCCGATATTGGATATTTATTATTTTCGTACCGTGTATGCGTGTTTGTCGTTTATTACTTTAGTATATTTTACTATTTCATAATAATCATTATATTATTTTGTTATTTAATTTTTCATTATTCTGTTTCAAATATCCGTGTTCACTGTTCACATTTCAAATTTAGAAACCGGTATTCAAAACTGAAACCGAAAAATTTAGAAACCGATATTGAAAACCGAAACCGAAAAATTTAGAAACCGGTATTTAAAATTTAAACCGAAACCAAAATTATTTCAATCGGTTTCAAGCCCTGGAATTGATCACCCCCGGTAGGTGCTCAAATAGGAATATTTGGTGATTTACGATAGACATTTTTGTTTATTAATGGTTGCTATGGGTTATAGGAGTTGAAAATAATATTTATTTATTTATATTTTTTTTATATTAATGGAGCGTCTCAATCTCATTCGTTTAAATCAGTTGAAGTTACGATCAGACGAGTGCATTCAATTGCTTGACGCCATCGCTACTGAAGGAGACGCGGCCAATATTGGTCGTTTGACCATTTTCTCAGCTACTCATGTTGGAAGCCCACGCGTGATGGATTCAATCGCGAATTGCAACGGGAGCAAGACTATGAGATGAGCTGGCTGGAAGAGTCGAACAAAGTGCCGAAAAAAAGAGCCAAACACTATCTTCCTCTTTTGTTTAACATAATCACAAATCAGTGGAAAACTACACCAATAATTATACCACTAAATAGGTATGGTAAAACATATTTACTCGATGATGGTTTGAGTCAAAAATATGACCGGACTTAAGAAAATATTGAGAATTACTCTAATACCATAAAATTTAAAACATACTACAACTAGTAAAATTTGGAGCTTCTAACTCAGTTCCAAGGACTGTATGAACAAACTGTTTGAAATTCATATTTTTACAACATTTGATATTCACTCGATTTCTCATGTAACGATTTTCTTATTTTATTGTAATTAAAAAACGAATGATTGTAGATACTTGACAATTTTACTGAATGTTTATATTAGCATTTCCTATAAACCATAATATAATTTTGACTCTTTTTGAGCTGTTTACGGTCATTTTCAGATTTTTTTTCTGTAAATATCAATACAATTTTATTTGTTGGGTAAAAAAGCGTGAAAATTTAATCCAAAGCTCCTGATATATTGTTACAATAACACTTGAAAAATGTTAAAAGTACATAGGCACAATTTTTTTTATAAGCATTCAAAGTTCAAATTTTGACAAAATTTATCACATTTAAAATTTAATAATAATTTTGTAGTTAAAAATTTATAAAATGTTCAACTTTTATAGCTAATGATTGAAAATTCAAAACAAGATTTTACGTAAATAGGATGTATATAAATTACTTTATTCACTATAGTATCATCAAATATATTTCGTATCATCATAAGCTGACTAACTCAGAATCGTTTTTCTTATACAATGATATTATATCATTGAATTCAAATTTAATACCATCCATTATACAGTGACCCACTTGTAATCTACTGTACAGCAGAGCACCTTTTTTTTATATAACTATTCGGAAAATGTACAATCTGTATTTGTTAACACAATAAGTAAAAAATATGACTGATGTAAGCATATTATACATAATAATAAAAAACAACACATGAAGCACAATAATATGAGGGAAGTCATCCAGCAATGAAACCCACTGAAACTTATGATTTAGACTACAAAAAGGTCGATAGATAAAAACCACAAACTCAATATCAGCTGATTACCTATATAGGTATATAGTATAATACTGCACACTATATTTTCAAACTACAAGCCAGATATATTCCGACGGTCAAAACGTTTACCAAGTTACGATTTTACAATGATGTGTGTGTTTTTTTTTTTATCGATCGATTGGAAAGTGAATATGCCTTGGGGTAGTCAAAATTTAAAATTCACAGTAATTTTAAAAAGCGCCGAGAAAAACAAAAGAAAAATTAAAGAAAAACAGGAATTTTTAAGCAAAATCAGTCACAGTTTTTTTTATAAGCATTTAAAGTTCAAAAATTATAAGTACCTAATGGATATTGTGATATGATTAATTTGGACTTTATTATAGGTATCTATTATGGGTCAATTTTTTTTTAATATCATAGATAAGTATATAATGTGTCTTATACCTAGTCTGACATATCGTCTCAGAATCGTTTTTCTTATACAATGATATTATATCATTGAATTCAAATTTAATACCATCCATTCTACAGTGACCCACTCGTAACCTACTGTACAGCAGAGCACCTATTTACATTAACATTTGGTATAAGAACTAAGAAATAAAAATCGAAGACTTAAATGTGATAATTATCAATGTAGATTGTAGGTAATTTCTATATTAAGGAACTGTATATTATTTCAAATTATGAAAACAAAAAAAAATTAGACCTCATAATTTTTTTATAATCAGTATATTTATAAGCCAAATACCACTCACTCGACACTCACTCACTCACCCATTCATCGCAACATCTCAAAAAATTCAAAACTTGCAAACTTGAAATATGGAATAGTGGTTCCTCTATAAATGATCTATTTGTGCAATAAGAAAGGATGTCCCGAGGTGGTCAAAGGAACTTGAGATTAAAGGTGGAAATTGCAACTTTTTTTTATTTATAAATAATTGGTGGGGTTGCAGATTATAATAGTAATAGTAGAAATTGTTAATTAGTAATTTATTTATTTTTTTTTTTTGTATATAAATGGTTACTCAGGCAGATCAGGTACAAGCATGCATCAAATTGTCACGCATATGACCTCAAATAAAGAATTTATGCCTTAAAACCAAATATGTATGTGGTTAGCTTATATACTCAAAAACTACTCAATTGAATTAGACGAAAATCTCAGAGACTGGTTTTTTCAGATGGCAGAAAATATATCAAATAATCCAATCCGAGACATTCAGTTGCCTCCCTATGTCGAATTATTTCACAAAGCTGACTACGAATTGTCAATGAACTGAGGTAGGTACACTGAAACTGAGATACCTACACTCAAACCAAAATCTAAACCAAGATCTAAATTGACGAGCTGTAGGATTATCATTGTGGTCACCATGAGACCGGATTGTACCAAAAAAAAGTGCAATATGATCCTGGCTAAGTTTATAAAAGCAAATATAATCAATTAAATCGGGCATCAAATAATTATTGTATAATTCATTTAGAGATTCAAAACAAATAAGAAATCCTAAGAAACCAGTTTTCCTTGCAGATTTTAAAATAAGTACATGAGTTATTTGGTTATATTTTAGTTTTTAGTTTAATTTATCTCTACAAAACGTAAGAGCTTCAGATACAGATCGACTTAGAAGTTGGGTAGCTAGCTTTAAATTCATTTTTTGCCTCGAGTAAAATACATGCTGCTTTTTAAGCTAATTTGCTAGATGACAACCTTCGTCTTCTTGCAAGATTAACAGTTTATTGATATATTCAAAATCAATGACGCTCCCATCCATGTCAATAAATTGTCGTTTTTCTCCAAAAGCATTCCTTATTAATCTTACCATATGGGCAGGATCTGGAATTATGGATATGGTGTTGGCAACGCCATCAACTTTGAAACTTGTATTGAAGTTGTCTGCATCCAAACCACAACCAAGAATTTTGACCATATTTATGTTGGTTGGGCATCCATCAAACGTAAGAGAGAAAATTGTTACTCCAGTTTTAGTTAGAAGATCTATACAACGACTAACTAATTCTGATTTCTGAGAACTATTAATGTGATTTATTAAAAAATAACCGACAGAAATTTGCCATGCTTCATTTATAGCAACTTCTAAAAAAACTAAGGCCTCTTTAGCTATTTCCATAGTTTCATTGCATATATATTCGCCAACATTTAAATAGCCATGGTAATTTGTTCCATCCCATTCTACATGCTGCCTTACAGCCGTTTCATCCATTACTAGTGCACAATATACAGGTTTTAAAGTATTAAGTACATTTTAAGGCAAGAGTGTTCAAAGCTTCTGTTGTAAACCCTGGTTCACAATTGATATTAGAATACCATTTACCAAGCGTCCGAGGATGTGGAAGAATCGTATTAAATTCTTTCCTGCCAAAGTTGTAAGCAAACACGGAACAAAAATGCAAGGAAATAGCAAATCTACGGAGTTCTGGGCAATATTTTCTAGTAGGCGTTATTCCAGCATTTTTCTTAGCAAGCCTTGAAATTAAATGTTTATTCTCACCAAAACTATCCAATAAAAATGTTGATGTGTCTTCATTTATCAAGTTGTTATCTTTAAGGCTTGAAATAATGCATTTTAAAGATACAATTTTTTTTCCTTTGATGACGGATTGTTTAGTTCAAAATTTTAATATTTTTTGATTTTAAATCGGTGTCATGGGATAAGACAGAAATGCCTCGTTTAAGAAATCGTCTCCTGGGTGTGTCATCGTCTTCCACAACACTGGCTTCAACAAACAATTCTCTATTGATCTAGTAAAAAAATAAATATTAATATTGTGTTATTAGAGATGTTTTTCACTGTCATTGGCAATTTTACCATAAGAACTACTTAGTTCCAAACATTCAACTCCATCAATTTCAGGTTCCAATAACTTAGGAGAATTTTAAGTTATGCTTGAACTACAACCAATATCTTCCATATCATCTACTTAATACATTTGTATCCAAGGTACAAAGATATGTCAATTCATTAAAAAATACTGATAAATCTCACTCACCTGTGAAAAGTAATTTTGTTTTCTTTACTCTTAGCGTTTTGGGTTCTACCACACAGATTAGAGCTGGGCATTGTTATATTTTAAATGAAAACAATTTTTAAAATTTACATAACCAGAAAGACATAAAACAGTAAATTGAATAGTAACTAGCACTATTAGAATATTGAAAACTCGGAGATTGACTTAAGAGTCGAATGCGGAATGACAGTTAACAAAACACAAAAACATTGTTGTTGTTTACACTTGACGGTAAAATGTATAAAACAAAAAAACGTACAAAAGCACAAGATGAAGGAAGTCATCCAACAATGAAACCCACTGAAACTTATGATTTAGACTTCAAAAAGGTCGATAGATAAAAACTACACACTTAATATCAGCTCATTAACTATATAGGTATATAGTACAATACTGCACACTATATTTTCAAACTACAAGCCAGATATATTCCGATGGTCAAAACGTTTACCAAGTTTACCAGAATATGACTTTTGTATATATAAATATGATAAAATTCGGGATGCATAACAAAATATGGCATCTGCAGAAACACTATGTTCAACCCATTCAAATTTGTTATAGTATGATTCTCTGAAGCTCCGGTTGTGCACTCCAAACTTGCCCAAAGGAAACTATTTTTTTTTAATAAGAAAAACATTACTAAGATATTTATTTTTTCTGATTATAGCTAATTGCAAATAATCTACTAAACGAAATCGATATAGGGTGGAGTCGCCACCTATAGCCGGTACCCCTGCTATGGCCAGTCATTTTTATTTTATTTGAAAATAGTGTAATTTTTTAGTTTTTTTAAGACTTTGGGTATTGTTGTATTCATCTACATTAATGTATTAACTGGGTGATAAAAAGTATTACAAAAACAGTTGAGAACCTTGTAAACATTTTTTTCAAAATTTTTATATCACTTTCATCCATTGCTTAACAAAATCGTTAAGAATTAAAATGATTTGGCTTACAAATTGGCAATTGCCAGTTACAATGTTACATTTTAGGTTAGCCAATATCTTTTTTCTTTCCTGGTATTGTTGATTTATATTATGAAGAATTTAAGTAAGACTGAGAACTATTAATACAAATTTCTCATTCAATTTAGTCTCCCACTAGTCCTTGATAGTTCTATAAACATTTTATTATTTGTGGATGATGCAAAAATGTTCTGTACAGTTAATTCTTTAAATGATGCTAATTCTCTTCAGTTGAATCTTAATAAATTTCATTTATGGAGTAAATTAAATTTATTACAGTTAAATATTGATAAATGTTATATGATATCATTTACACGTAACAAATATCCAATTTTGTTTTACTATAATATTGAACTTTGTCCACTCACTAGAGTAAATTCAATCAAAGATCTTGGTATATATTTTGAAAGTGATCTTTCTTTTAAAACACATCATAAAATGATAATTAATAAATCTTTAAAGATGTTAGGCTTTATTAATAGAAATACTAAAGATTTTAGAAATCCATTATGTTTAAAAACCTTGTATACATCTTTAGTTAGATCCAATCTGGGTTTATGCTCTATTATTTGGTCCTGCAAAAACTTGACATACATAAATGTTCAATACAAAATTTTTAAAAAGGATTTAACATTAGTCAAATATTCCATTACCTAGAGACTCTCTCCATTAACTTTAAGATTATATTGGCATTGTTCCTCTTTCACTTAGACGCAAATCAAAAAATATAATGTTTGTCTATGATCTTATTAATTATAATATTTAATTACAACTAATTAATTGCATCGGTATGTGTTCAAATTTCATTTTGTTTACTACAAGGTAAAATTATATACCCACCTTGAATCTTAAAAAAGAGAAAAAAAAAGTTATTAAAAACAAATAATGTTAATAATTTGACAGAAGTAATAAATATTTACCTTCATTTTCACTAGTATCACTAGTATCCACAATTTTCCTGTTTTTATTACTTTTAAACGGATAATAAACAATTAAAATGCTCTCGTTGTCTGTTGATTCTATAACAATTCGTTGATGCCAAGCTTTATTGAAATTACCTATAGCTTATACTAGTGGTCGGGAACCTGGAAAGAGCCAATTTTTCCAAAATTACAAATTATGATATCCAGGGAGCCGTACAGGTTTGAACCTATTTTTTTTTTTTTTTTTGTAGGCCATAAAAACAATAATAATACGTCTTAAATTTAGAAAATATAGAAAAACTTTGAGTATTTCATTAATTCATTATTCTTATTATTATTGTTTATACAAATATAATATTATTAAATTAAACACAATAACGCACAAAAAAAAAGTATCTACTTAATATTAGTGGTATATTTGACACTGAATTTCTCCGGACAGCTTATTCAATTCTGGAGTAATCTGCAGTTTTCAACTACATGAAAAACAAGCATTAAGGCTGATATCATTCAGTTGATTCCTTAATGTATTCTTAATAAAGTTCATATTTGAAAATGGTTTGTTCACAAATGTAAGAAGATCCAAAAATGGTCAAAATTCCGAAAGCGACCATTTTTAATTGGCCGAAACTTTCAGGAAGACTGTTCCATACGTCAAATATAACTTGCTCTTCTTTTTGAAATTTAGCGAGTTCCGTCCATTTATGGTTCGTGCTAAAACTCCTTTTTCCCTTTCCAGATTTTCAATTTCCGTTTACAAATTCTCAAATTTTGAAGACCAAAGATCTTTAGTTTTTAGTCCTATTAATTACAATGGAAATAGTTTTTGTCGACAGTTGGAAACGATGGAAAATGAATTGGTCCAGTCTCCGCTGTGAGTGGTGACGTCAAGAACTTTAACGTGGATTTATATTTTCGAAAATCTTCAAATCGTTTACTAAACGAATTTTTCATGGATTGAATGGTCGATTTAAAATACTCCGAATCAATAATACAACCTGAGGATTCCGTGTACTCTTTCAAATATTCAAAATGATCATGATTTCTGCTGTCAATATTTTCTGAATAAAGCTAAAGATGTTGTTTGAAAGAAAGAACGGTTTCCAGTTGTGTATGTGCTGTATTTCCCTTACCTAGAAGCTTTTTATTTAAGTGTATCATCGTTGTGTAGATCTTCCCAGTCCGACCAGTTTATGTCGTACGGATAGAAATCGATATCCGTAAACATGAAACTTCTATTTACGACTGGATAACTTTTTTCAAATATTGGCTAAAAGTAAAAACAACAATAATTAATAATTATTTTTTTTTTTATTATTAATTATACATATACTTACAGGGGCGGAGAAACAATAATATAAGTACAATATAAGAGTTTAGCATTTGAATTATTTACTAAATGTAAACGTTAGCAAATACTCCTCCTACATCAAGTGGTTGTAACTTAGGTATGTGTACAGTGAGGAGGAAAATTTACCAACATAATACCATTTTCTTTTGCATAAGTAACAGCCTCAAGTGAACAATGAGACTCATGGTTGTCCATTAAAAGTAATATTTTGTCTTCTTTAGTACACCTAATATGATTTTTATTATGTTCGAGCACTTTAACAAAAAGTACTGAATTTATCCAAGCACTTTGTGTTGAATTAGGAAGACCTAAGCTTCCCTCAGGAGCTAAAATCATAAGAAGATCACTCATTCTTACCCTAGGGAATATGAAAACTGGTGGCAATGATTGACCAACAGCATTATAGTCATGCATGCTGTTATCATTTGACTAGGTTCTGTAGAGACATTTTGTCCAACTTGTCGGACACCTTTCTGAGCCACAACATTAGGTGGATCAACTACTGTACTTACACCTATTTCATCGATATTATAAATTCTATCTGGTGTTACAGGATACTTTTTCAATGCTTTCTCATATAAATCAAAAAAAAAAAATGTAACATTAGTTTTGTTAAAAGAAGTAGCTAGAGACTTGTTTTTTTCTGGTTTTATTCTTGATAAACTAGGGTGGCGTTTCATAAAACAATAAAGCCAATCATTGCCTGCATTTAGTTTCCAAGAATCTGAAATCGTTAATGTTACTTTTACTGCATAGTCATAAGCTAGTTTCCTAATCTGAACCAAAGTCATGCCATAATTTATTTGAGAACACCTTAAAATGATGTATTTCACTAACATATCTTCTTGTTCTTTACTAAATATTTAAACAGTATACTTGGAGTTAAAACGATTTTCATCAAGACTGTTTTGTCTTATACCATCTATATTTTTCAGCTTTTTAATTCGATAAAAAAAGAGTTGTATGCCTCATTCCAAATTGCTGGGCAGCATCACGGTACCCAATATTTCCTTCTTTATATACCTGTATGGCAGCTTGTATATTATCTTCCATTTCCTTTTCATCTCTTTTAATTTTGTTTACATAATTTCTAACCATATCAACTAAAAAATAAAAAAATTTACCTATATTATGATGTTCAAAATTATCCCAATATGCTATGTTCAAATGTACCCCAACAGCAAACTTTGTGTTTTAGTGAAGAACTACAATGTATTTTACTCTCAAAATCAGTTTTCAATCCAATGTTTTGTTTCTATAATGTTTCTATTTCACTCTTCAATAAATTATTAGCTTCAGAAACATACTTCTCATTAAGAGATTTATTCAAACCATTAGCCTCTAGAAGTTTCAATTTTGTCTCATGTAACTCCTGATTAATTCTAAATAAAAAATTTAATTTGGTAAATATTATGGGCTAATATTTAACAATAGCTTTGTTTTTGTTTAGTCATTTTTAAAAGATTGCAGTTACAAACTAATTATACAATGAAAGTAAATTGAAAGTATGTTTTTTGAAGATAAACCTGAAAATGCAGAAACAATGAATGGAGATATTTATCGAAGCATGATTTCCAATTTTCTTTGGCCTATTCTGGATGACATGGACACAGAAGAAATGTGGTTCCAGAAAGACGGTACTACCTGTCGCATTTCTGGGACTACAATTTCATTGCTTTGTGAACAATTTGACGGCCGACTCATTTCCATTCGTGGCAATCAGCAGTGGCCACCAAGGTCATGTGATTTAACTCCATGTGACTTCTTCCTTTGGGGCTACATTAAATCACTGGTTTATGCAAACAAACGGCGAACTTTATTGGATCTTAAGCAAGAAGTTTAATGAGTTATCAGTGAAATCGATGGGAAAGTCTGTGAAAACGTAATTTGTAATTTCATGGACAGAGTCACTGCATGTCGAGAGAGAAGGGGGTCTCATATGCACGATATCGTATTTCACACTTAAACCTCAAGTCATAGTGAAATAATGTAAACCATTAATAATGTATTTCTTATAAAATAAAATTGATTTATAGCAAAATTAAAAACTGCGTTCTATATGAAATACTCTTTATATGATCCAAGGGTATAAAGCCAAGGACTAATAACTGAAATTTTTTTTTTATTTTTTTATTTAAAGGTTTACAGGCTTCAACTGCTATTGTTATTAGCCGAAATTGACAAAACAAAAAAATAAAAAATAAATTACAATATTAGATTAAATTACAGTAATTATAGGTTAAAAATAAGTTATTTAATTAAAGTCTACATAATTAAGTTTACATTTGTATATGAGCTTGATTTATATTTTATTAATTTTTGGGTAGATTCTTCATTGAGGGCTTCTTTGATGTTAGGAGGAAGGTTGAGGAGTGTGCGATACTGGGCATTCTTCGAAAATATGTTTTATAGTGATGCGAGTTTGGCATGTGTTGCATATAGGGGGTTGGTCTTTACTGATAAGGAAGGAGTGTGTTAGAAACGTGTGGCCGATTCTAATGCGAGTGATGGCAATATTTTGGAGTTGGCTGAGGTTCAGGGGAGTATACCATTGTTTAATAGAACTTTTTATGTGCTTTAGTTTGTTTGTTGGGGGGATGGAATCCCAGATGTGTTGCCATGACTTGAGGGTTTAGTGTCTAATTGATATAAAAATTTTGTTGGAAGATATTTTACAATGGTGATGTCGTGTACGTTTTGACTAGCTAAGGAGGCTGCTTCGTCGGCCATTTCGTTTCCTTTTATGCCAACGTGGAAAGGTACCTACATGAAGTCAATATTTGTTTGGGTGATTTCGTTTTTGACCACGGGTTTTTTAGGGTTGTTAGGACGCTGAGAGAATCACTTATAATCAAAATTGTTTGCTGGAAGTGAGTTTGCTAATTTTATTGCTTCAAGAATTGTAAAGTTTTCAGAGGTAAATATGTTTGTGTTGAATGATTGTTTGATTGTGCGCCATTGAGAAACCAACTCCATGACTAGATTTTGAAGCGTCAGTGTAGATTTGAGAGTGGGTAGGGAATCTGTTTTGGATAATGTCATAGAAATGGGATATTATTATTTTGTGGTTTTTATTACATAAAAATCCGCGCCCTAGTAATTAAGTTATAAATGAAAAACTGTGGATTTTTAATGGAAATTTATATTAATTCAGAATCACAGTAGTCGTCGTCGTCATAGCAACAGCGTTGCCAATATTTGTTATCTGGTCATCGGGGAAAATATGACAAAATTACCGTTCTCATACCTAGATCATTTTGTAAATACTCAATATTTACTCAACAATATTGTTGTCCGTACTTTATACAATATACTATATATAATATAATATACTTATAAAAATATATATACATTATTATTATTTGCATTGATGATAAAAATTAGTGATATCTCAACTTTGTGTAAACACGTGTAAAATTGCCTAAGTAAAAAAAAATATAATATCTTTAAGCACTATAAAGATGTGATATCATGAATAAATGCTAAGTATATTGAGCTTAAGTAAACTTATTGTGTTTCAATTATGCATTTACTTGGCGAGGAATTATTTAGAATAGTATGCATATAAATATTAATAATAATATTTTTAAAATAGTAATAAGTGATATTTCAATAGTTCTTCGCCATTTATTTATTTTGTTCATAAAATATTGATTCTTTTAAGAAATAATTTTTCGCCGATAAATACATTATTGAAACACAATAAGTTTACTTAAATTCAATATACTTAGCATTTATTCATGATGTTGTAATCTGGCAATCGCCTTGATTCTGTTGGCTACCGGTTGCAACTAGACCTTTGAGGTGTGGTTTGACTTAGGATTGTTGAACAAAATATAGACTTGTTGAAGTTTAAGTGTTTTTATTAAAAGTATAAGTCTGCAAAACTATTCTAAGTCTAAAATGACAGTTTATTGTGCTAACTGGCTTGAAGATACTTGCAGGTACACGTCTGAACACATGCCACTTCAGGTCTATTTTTATAAGGCTCTCTTGCTTTCCTACCTACCCCCTGTCAACTGGTTTATCTAGGACTTTAATTTATTATCTATACATTCTCACGCTTAGTCGTTCTGAGAATCATCTCCCATTATTTTACATTACAATTACAAGTGTCATCCGTTAGCATTTAGATACCATGTATATTGTATATATGTTACCGTAAATGCCCGATCACTAGGTAAACCTAGGTTTTACTAGTTAATGCTAGGTTTTACTGTTTGTACTCAGTAAATGCTGAAATTCTAAATTTTATTCGGGCTTTTACTAAACACGTTGTGTACATCCTAGGATATACAAATTGACTTAGTAAAAGCAGATCAATACATGACACATAACATTTAAGCTGCGTAAAAATTATAATTATATAGTATTAAAACAAACTACTGACAGTTATTTAAATTCTTTATACAAAATAAAAATCATTTAAAAACAGAATCATTAAAAATTAATAAAAAATTTTTTTTTCTTCATAAAAATTAGTAAAATTGGTGGGTAGTTAGAAATAATTATTTAAAATTTTTATTTATTTGCACATGTACTATTATGGCACCTGCTATTACATAATACATTTGACTGGCGGCATTTGCATTTTTTAGTTGTACATTTTTTCTGGCAATCACACCTCAAAAATCCTTGCCCGCCTGATAGTGAAAGTTGAGCAACAGCTTGGCGTATGTTTGTTATTGTTGTATTTGGAACATCGGATATTGAAATAAATTTAAAAACCCAAATAGACTGAACATGTACCTAATAAAACCATATCTAAGCGATAGAGTATCCATTAGTGCCACCAATCAATTGATATCAGTCAGCTATTACTAAGTTATATCATGATATAAGTTGTATAATATTAATCTTAAACCCGATAAAATGCAAGTCCCTGCAACACATTGAAGTCGTAAATTTATCTTCGCAAAATAATTGTTATTAATCGTTGCAAGCAAAAATGTTTGAGGTGTGATTACAACTTAAGATGCATTTTTATTTTGTATAAAGAATTTAAATAACTGTCAGTAGTTTGTTTTAATAATATATAATTATAATTTTTACGCAGCTTAAATGTTATGTGTCGTGTATTGATCAGCTTTTACTAAGTCAATTTGTATATCCTAGGATGTACACAACATGTTTAGTAAAAGCCCGAATAAAATTTAGAATTTCAGCATTTACTGAGTACAAACAGTAAAACCTAGCATTAACTAGTAAAACCTAGGTTTACCTAGTGATCGGGCATTTACGGTAACATATACATGTTACATGTATGCATATATATATGTGATGCGTAATATTATTCATATATCCTAACCAGCACCAAAATGTTCATACCTTATGAAATGAATATTCATCTTTTTCAAATAGAATATTCATATCTTATTTTTGAATAGTCTATCATTCTGATAATATAAACAAAAAATGGTCAAATGCGCCACATTTAGTCATTCTATGAATATGCAATCAATAGTTTATATCTATTATTCATAGTATCCGGTATTGCATTTGGACAATGCGTCTAAATATGATTGTGCTCGGCAACCTGCTAGTTGATCGCCAGCCCCGTTATTGTATATGGACCTGTTTGTATATTGTTGGCCCGCGACTACTTTCATAACCTATTCATGTGAGATGGTCCATTATATTCGTGACACTCTCCCATGGTTGCTTCGCCCCCTTGTTGTGTTCCTACAGCGTATTTTAATAAGATTTATAATCGTGATTTACATATTTAATTTATCCGTTGATTCCTAACTTAAGCTTCTATGCTGTCTAATATATTTAGAGATGAAACGGACCACAATAATATAGTATTGTATATTATTTGGACGTTACAATGATATCACATCTTTATAGTGCTTAAAGATCTTATATTTTTTTTACTTAGCCATTTTTACACATAGTTTACGAAGGGATTTTTGTGATATGATATTATATACTCATGAACACCTAAATATTATATTATTTACATCTTTATAATTAATAAACACTGTAATGGTAGTTGATCACAGATCGCGGGAGTTGCTCGGCGTTGATAAGTTATCGATCATGAGGGTTGACTAAGTACAATATGTATTATTTTGAACTATTCGTACTTAATATATTGTACACACTTGTTAGGGGTGGTCGCGACCAGCAGGAGTATAATGTTTATATATATAAATAATACAAAATGAGTGGCTGACAGCTCACTCACGAAACCATCGGATATTTAATAGGGTGGTCCATGCTCCGGGATGATGTTGTTGGTATAATGGTATAATATTATGAATGTGTAGTTGTAGAAAAGAAAATAATATTTTTGCCACACAATAAATGACGGTACGGCCATAGGCGCATATTGGTGAGGGGTTTGGGGGTGTAAGCCCCTCCAAACTTAGCCGTAGCCCCCCCCCCAAAAAAAAAAAACTTAAAACATACAATTTATAATAATATGCTATATTGCAATGGTCTGCTTGCATTTAATATATTCAGCCCCCCCCCCCCCCAAGTCAAAAGTTGAAATTGCGCCGATGGATACGACACATCAGCGTTGGATGAACAAGATTGAAAATTAAATAATAAAATAAAAATTCGCTCCGCTCAAAATCTAAAAATCTTTTAAAATTGCATACATTATTTCTATACCACTCCACACTCTATTGTTCTTAATAATATATATTTTTTTTAATAACAGATACTTAGCAACCGGAGATATTTCGTTCAGCTATCGTTTAGGGCTTTATACTGTATACCAAATCATTATGTATGTTATGAAATATGTTATGCAATTGTAATTCCAGAAGTCATGTCCGTCCCAACTGAACAAAAATTCAAAGAAATCACATCAGAGTTTTGGACGTGTTGAAATATCTCCAATTGTTTAGGTGCCATCGATAGCAAACATATTACAATCCACGCTCCTCCAAATAGTGGTTCACAATATTTCTGTTATAAAAAAACATTTATTAGTATTTATATTACATTCCATCTAATATCACTGATCTCCTTTGTAATCATTAATCACTTTGACTAACGCATCAATAGCATTGATATCCATATTATTGTTTATCATTTATTGCTTCAGCTAACGCACAATTGATTCAATGTCTAAGTTGTTTGTAGGCTCGTGCTATAACAATTAGAAAATGGTAAAATTATGCTGTAAATATCTATTAATTGAATAAGTGGCGTAAAAGAGCAATGACAACTAACCAAATGTAGGCGAATATTTTTTTTAAATAGTGTAGTATGCATTCTGCTGTAATAAGCAATATCTCCCATGTTGGTCAATAATTGAGATATTGCTACCTGGGGGTTAACAATGTAGTATTTACCATTTTTCGCAGTAAAAAAGTTGTACATCCAATATTTAACATTGAAAATGAGTAATTGGCATTAAGAAAATAAACAGTAAGTCCATAATTTTTGTGAAACTAGAAGCAAAAGTATATTAAATCCCGATAAGTAGCAAATAAGCAGTAAGTGACATTTTCAAGACATTTTATATAGTAACTGAAAACACAGTATCTCCATATTTACAATTTGATACTAGCGAGTTGTATTCTGTATTAGCCACAACCACGGTTTTAATTATATATTAAAGGTATATCATGTTAATCATGTTCAGAACTTACACACAGGAAAATAAAAAAAGAGGTCCCAGACGCTCAATTTCTTTTGAGTGTCCTGCTGCCTTACATAAAAGAATTTGATCCTTTAGAAAAACTCGAAATCATGAATCCAATTCAAAATGTAGTTTTGAACGCTTATAGAAAAAAAAGACATAGGAAAACCGCTCACAACTTGAGTCTATTCAAGACATTCAGAGTGATCCTCTAAATCAGCCGTGTGTACAAAAAATTTACCGACCATACCAAGTAAGTACTCTCCAATCAACTGTAGGACAATCCCAGTGGACTGTGGAGTATGTCCAATAATGGTGACAATACACCAAGGATTGCAGGTATACAACAGGCTAGTGATGTTTTATTGGTTAATAATCAGTTCAGCCAAGATTTTTTTAATCTTCATCAGCAGTCATTTTAAGTATCAGTTACCAAAAATCTTATAGTAAAAATATATACGTATAATAAATTGTATGTATTAATATAAAATTATGATTTAAATATTGTATTTATTATTTTAAAATTTGCTGCAGGATATCAAAATATTACATTTTATTTTATGTTTTAATTATTTAATCAAAAATAATTAACATGTTTTTATTTATTTTTTTTTTATTGAAAAAAAAAATTAAGCCTCGATAACGGGACCATTGGCTTATTAACATGTTTTGTTACAGTTATTATGTCAATTTTATTTTCATTGATTTTTTTTTAATTTTTAGTAAAATTAATTATATTATTATAAAAGTTATAATAATTTAATCATTTTTACGTACCTATATAATATATTGTATACATTCTATATATTATTATAACTAGGTAATACATTTTATATGATTACATTTATTTTAAATAAAGTTGTTCTTATAATTTCTTAATAATATATTATTTAGAACATATGTATTTAAAAACATTTATTCACCTACCTTATAGTTACATATAACCTTTCAGCAGGAGATATTGGTTTCTTGAAGTTAGTAATCTTCTTTCTTATACGATGATTTATTTTGCTCAATATAAAATCGTAAGTATGAACTGACATCCGTAAATACTCAAAAAATGTAATCGGTGATTTTCGCAAATCAGAATATAAATGGTGATACTCACCATACACTAATCTGCGACGACTAATGGGATGAATACCAACCCTTTTTTTTTTCAAAATTTTATTTCGTAAAATTGGGTTATCTAACAAAATTGACAGACGATTTACCGACATGATTATAAATTGGAGTATAAAATCGGAATGACTCTAAAATACGAAATGCATTTATATTTTACGCTCGCCGCTCTTGGATGAGCCAATATACACACTCTGCCGCTCGCCGCTAATTATCGCCAACGATAAGTCGTCGCCGCTCACCAATGTACACGAGGCCTAAGAATTGTTTTTCTCAGGTTTTAAGCCAACCTTTAAACAACTCATATACTCTCCCACTCATAACGGTATTTTTGCTGTCTGTGCTTAGGTTTCTCGTCGTTATTGAGTTCGTTTCTCATTGTCCTCTTTGTTTTTGGAGTGGAAGGCCCCTGATCATCAGATCAATTCTGTAATATTAAAATGTGTAATGTATTATTTATTCAATATAATTCAACTGATCAATTCACATAAAAATCCGATGCTAGGTACCAATGCATGACATTAAGTACAAATATAAAACTAATGGGAATCGACCTTTATTAAAAATTCACAAGCCTCCGGAGTATCCTTAATGTCAGACATAACTACTATAATTTCAAAATTCTTCAAATTTAATTGAACCAGACAGCAGTAGGCTACTTGAATAATAATACACGTTACACTTCAATATTAGGAATTATACCCACAGTCTTAATAAAAAGTACCTTCTACCATAGGCGTAATCTGGGGGGGCAAGGGGGGGGGGGGGGGCAACTGCCCCCCGGATATTTCATTGAGGGGGCAATAGTGTCTTTTTGTCCCCCCTGTCATAAGTTTAATTTAAATTTTTATTTGGGGCCAAATTTTCCAAAATAGTTAAAAATGATAAGGATGTTTAAACCATACTAGTGATCCAGCAGTGACGCCAATATAAGAAAAAAAATTGTAAATTACTTATGCCCACATTGCAAAGATCTAACCTCAGGTCTATGCCGCATTGCCACAGTAAACAGAGTAAGAGTGGTAACCGCCATAAAACACTCTTATCATTTTTCAGACAGTGCTTATCATTATATTGTTTTATTTTGGATTTTGGAAGAATTGTTCTAATGTTGTCGAATTAGTTGTTTGATTTGATAATTGATATACAAATATTGAAATAAGTATACAATTGTTATTTAATATTTGTTATTGTGTTTTTAATTTTTACAAATATGAAAAGAAAAACCATTGGTGACTTTTTTATAAAAGTATCAGGTAATAATGGTAAGTCAAAATGTCAAGTTATTATTATTTTATCATTTTTTATTTGTGTTATAAACATTTTTTTTTAGATCAGACCAATCAAACAAGTGTACCAATAGCCACTACATCAGTTTCTCAAGAAATAAATAATATTTTAGAAGGTATTCAATATAATTAAATTATATAAATTATAAATTAAATAATATTATGCCTAATACCTATTATATTATCTTGTTTTTAGATCATACCAGTCAGAAAAATACATTGACAGAAGTATCAAATTCTCAAGAAATTAACAATATTTTAGAAGGTAGGTACCTTGTTAATATTTGATATTAATTTATGTTATTCAAAAGTGTATTATTTTAACATTTAAATATTTATGAATTTTATGGATGTTTGGTACAGTTAAAAATAATACTAATAATCTCAGATAATTTGATGTTTTTGTTTATTAGTTAGTCCCAAAAACTCTATGTTTGTGTATTGTGTTAATTGTTGTCTATGATTTATGTGTTAATTAATTATAATTATTCATTAATCATTGATCAAATAAATCAAGTTAATAAAGTAAGTTAATACAAATTAAAAACAATTAATTATATAGGTATATTGTATATTATATAAATATTTATATAACAGTTAATAATATATTAATTAGTTTTGCATGTAAATTAATTACTAAGGGTTTAAGGATATATAGAAAGTAGATTGCTGCTTATTTATTATTATTTTAAATTTAATAATTTTAACATTATAAATATTCAATTAATATTATACATTACTAACCTCAGAAACAAGAATTATCTTATATTATTATTATTATTATTATTGTTATTTTAAATAGATGGTAATTGTATGGCTAATAATATACCAGTGCGTGATCCTGCTAGTAAAACATCAACAGCATTTACATTATTTATTGAAAATTATGGTCCTTACCAACCAATAGATGTTGAATTTATCAAGATAAATGGTAGATTATTTAGAACTGAATGGTATAGCCAATTCCCATGGATTGAGTTCAGTGAGCATTTACAAGCAGCTTTTTGTTTCAATTGTAGAGTATTTCCATCGAAAAATGCAGAAAAGACTTTCACTAATGTTGGTTTTAAAAATTGGAAGAAAGGAATAGAGAAATTTACTCAACACCAAAAATGTAATGCACACAAAGAGTCTACATGCAAATTGTCAAGTTATACGTTTTCTAAAAAGAATGGATCAGTGATTTCTGAATTTAATTTAGCACATAAGAATTCTGTAACTCAGAACCGAGAATATATTAGATGTCTATTAAAAACCCTTTTGTTTTGTGCAAGACAAGGTATAGCAATGAGAGGACACAATGAAACAGAAATGTCAACAAATTGTGGAAATTTTCTCGAACTTTTAAAATTGAGAGCACACGATAATGCAATTATTCATAAATATTATATCGAAAAAGAAATGTCATTTACCTATACAAATCCTGAATACCAAAATTTATTTTTAAAATATATGGCAGATAGCATTAAAAATCCATCATAAAAGATATTCAAAGTAATGGCTTTTACAGTATTTTGGTGGATGAAACTCAAGATTTGAGTTATCATGAACAAGTTTCTATTTATATCCGATACGTTGATCAACATTTTGTCCCACATGAAGTATTTTTAGGTTTTTTTAAAACAAATACAACTGATGGGTTAGCTTTAACTAATCTAATTAAAAATGTATTAAATTCTTATGGAATAGATTTAAATAATGTTAGAGGTCAATGCTATGATGGTGCTGCGTCGATGAGAGGATCCTACAGTGGTGTGCAAAGTAGAATAAAAGAAGAAAATCCATTAGCACTATATGTGCATTGTTATGCACATATACTCAATCTATGTTTAGTTGATTTAGCTAAGTCTGTACCAATGGTAAGAAATACTTTTGGAACTTTATCAACTCTTCATAATTTTATAAAGGCATCTTCAAAAAGATATGCTATTTTCAAAAAAGTACAAGAATCAAATGCAGAAAATAAAACAATTCCAGATCATTCAAATATTGACAATCAAAAAGTGCAAGAAGATTTAAAAAACATAAAAAAAAAAAACATTAAAATCACTCAGTGATACTCGTTGGAATTGTAGAATTGAAGCTATAAAATCTGTTCTTGAAAATCTGTAGACTATATTTCAAACTCTTTTGGAAATAGAAAGCATAGATACACATTCTGGTTCTGATGCAGCTTCACTTTCACGATGTGTCAAGAACTTTGAGTTTATATTTTGTCTCCATGTTCTTAGGGAAATTTTAGGTTTGACTAATGTATTAAATTTATATTTACAGTCACCAAAAAATAACTATGCAACTGTTAAAGATATGGCTATGCATACAATTGAGTCTTTAAAGGATTATAGGTGTGATTCAAAATTTAATGAATTATGGATACTTTCAAAAACTGTTTGTGATCAAAATAAATTAGATCCTCCTAAGATTCCTAGAATGTCCAAAGTTCCAAATAGACACGGTGGAGGTGCCAAACAAGCAGTATACCAAGATGTTCAACACTATTTTAAAATTAACTTTTTCTTCCCTCTTTTAGATTTATTAATCAACGATATATCAAATCGTTTTTCTGAAAATGATCTTGATATCCTACAAGCATTATATGATGTCTATGTGAAGAAAACCCATCGAATGACGTTATTAAAAGAGTATGTACAACATACAGTTTAACCGAAGTAGAATTAAAAGGAGAGCTGTCTATTTTAAATAAAATGTTAAAAAACAGTGAAATAAAAGATTCATTGGAAAATAGAATTGATTTTTTCAATAAAAATAATTTGAAAGGTGGATTTGAAAATTATAGCAAATGTTTAACTATATTTTTGTCAATACCTACAAACACAGCTTCAAATGAAAGAAGTTTCTCTTCGTTGAAGAAACTAAAAACATATCTACGGCTTACTATGGGCCAAACAAGACTGAGTAGTATCGCTACTCTATACATTGAAAGAGATAGAGAAGTTGATTTTGATCAAGTAATAAATGAATTTGACGAAGGTGCACCAATTCGTGGTCGACGGCTTGTATTGAGATAAAATTACTAAATTATATTGTTGTTTATTCATTTATAATATTTTAACGTTGTCTATTACTAACTAGTAACTAATAAATATAATACTTACTGATTTATTTATTTATTGGGAGAAGAAAAGCCACCATTTTCCAACCTACCTTTTATAATTTTGGTTGTACCATAAACTGCCCCCCCAAGATTTTACCCCAGATTACGCCTATGCCTTCTACAGATAAATAAAATGTACCTTTGTCCTTTAAAATATAAATACTGGGTTTCCAATATTAATAATACATTTTGGTACTATATTATTATATGTAATATTTATACCATTACAAATAATTTTATATGATTTGCAATTCAACTAATACAAAAAAACAAACATAGTATAACATTTGGACCTATAATTATTTACAATAAATAATAATTATAATATTTTTAAATTGATGCGGGAAATGTTGATTTATTATCATATTATGCATAGAATATTATATTTTAAACCATGATTTATCAATTAAAAAATGTTAATAATATTCATTATCAGTAAAAAAACATAGACGGTATGTATTATCTATGGTTAGGTCTAATACCTATGGACCTTAGACACAAAAACAAAAATTCAGGTACTTGTAATTACCGTAAATTTCCGTACGGTATTCAATGTATTACAATACACAGTACAATGACCAAATTAACCTATGAGTACCTACAGTCCAAACCGTACGTCTGGCAACACTGCCCTCAGGGCTTGGACCCAATAAATTCAGACAAGACGACGGAGACGACGCGGGGATACGGAAAATGCACAAACGGTGATCGGTGGTATAATTTTATTGTATTTAAAAGGTGGATTGATAAGGTGTAAACACTTGGCTTATTAGTTGATTGAAAATATTAATCCAGCTTAGTTCACCACTAGAAAATCAAAAATACACAGCTTTGTATGCAAGATTTAAGCAAAACACAATAAATTACCACTGTATTTGTTAAAATATGAATAAATTATAATTTTTTAACTAAAACAAAAAATTTCTATTATTTGTGAACTATCCTTGGTCACAATTTGCTTTTTGATTGGTTTAATTGGTGGTAATGAAAACAATCTTGTATTACAAATAAATACAAAATATAAAGAAATGGTGCTTGCATTAATTCTTTTGTATCGACAACAAAATTATTTAATTTTAATGAAACATCGTCACACTAGAATACATTTTCATTTAATTTTTATTATTTTGTTAATATAAATTTAAAACATTATAAAATGCCTAATATATGTTTCGTTCCTGGGTATAATACTGGTTTCTCTAATTACCAAAATAATTATGAAGTATCCATCCAGATTTCATCCACCTGAGGTACCTTCGTAGACAAATTGTAGTTTGAAATATTAATGTATTATTGTTTTATATTTCTAAATACTAATCAGTTAGTAGTCAAATATTATGAGTAATAACATGTAGCATATACTAATGTCCAATGGTAATTATTGCTACCCTAATTTAAAATAGATATCGAACATGTTCAGTGGGCTCCAATATCTGCTTGAAGAATAAATAAATAAAATAAATAAAAATATGTACCGCATTGTTAATTTTAATCTTATAGTAAATGATACTAATAGTAAAATAAATTACTTTAACAGCAACAATTTCAATTCACTTTTTAATATAAAATATACAATTTTTTTTCTATTGTGAAAATATTAAATGCTTGTTTATGACTAAAATATTAGAATATGATTGATGTTTGGAATAAAAAAGTTCCAAGAGCAGGTAGGGATTTGAAAAAGATGTAGTTTGTGAGCTTCATTTTCCTTCAGATGATATAATTAAAATAAAAAAGTATGAAGATGAAAAAGGAAATGATGTTATTTATCCTCTTAGTAAACCAATTTTACAATCTAATGCAATTTCATGTATATTCCCGAATTTTCCATCGTACTTAAGCACAACCAATTTAAAAAAAAGAAAACCACGAGTTCAGAGGAAATAACCTATTAAGAAAATGCCCGTATGCCCGTATGCACAGTCAATTTATGTGACCCATATTACTTATGTATTTGTTATTTATGTGATTGATAACAATGTCACGTTGCATAGTCATTTTTATGGGAGGATTTGATTATTAAGGGTCACATAAAGTTATATGGTCAATTTCCACCACATAAACCTTATGTGATACATTTGTGTTCAGTTTATCGCAATGCTACAACAATTAAGTACCAACCACTTAACAATTTTCAATATTATTAAATTTGTCTTTAAAATTTAAATTAGCGTGTCTAGTCCGTAGTCGTTAGTATGGATGATATATTCAATTTTGTGAACTATTTGGAGTATATTGAATTTGATATAGGTGATGATGATAATTATATACCAAGAAGATATCTTCGTAATGTCGATGACCCATTCGAATTATATAGCGATGACCAATTTTTTAAACGTTACCGTTTTCCAAAAAGAATTGTACTTGATCATTTGTTGCAATTAGTAAATATTAATTACAGGAATAAACGTGGATTACCTATTCCTACTGTTCTACAATTATTGACTACACTTCGTTTCTATGCTACGTCGAATTTCCAGGTAGTTTTGCTTTAAAAAAAACTGTATTAACATTTAACTGTATTTTTAAAAAAAAAGTACCTATCTACCGGGTGAACCATTTTAGTGTCTCCACTCATTATTTTCAAAAGTTCTTACTTTATGCTTTGCTTTGGGGGATGGCTAAGCCGTGAAACTATACCAGGCTTTTGCCTCTACTAGTGGATGGATGTTTAGGAAGGTGGTTTTAAATTTGTTGGTCAACCCATGTCAAAGGGTAGGGTTTGATTCTACGCTTTGTGGTTGGAGGGGTGTGAGATTTCCCTAAGAGTCGGATGTGGGCATGAATAGAGAAAGAGTTTTTGTAGAACATCGATTTGGATTGGCTATGAATAGAATTTTTGATAGACTTGAAATTTGCTGATTTTAGAAGGACCGAGTTTTTAACGATAGTGGGCATACCCGTTATCGTGCGAATGCCGATGTTTTGAACAGATTCGATACTTTTCCAATGTGAGGGACCGATAAAGGGCGCCCAAGAGGGGCCAGCATAAGAAAGAATTGGAGAGACGTAGAGTTTTAAAATATTGAGTTTTGAAGATTTTGGGACGGGGCTAGAACGGTTGAGAATGGGGTAAAGAATTCCGAGAACGCGAGTGGCCTTTTTGGGGATGTCTTGAACGTGTTTGTCGAAGGTGAGTTTGCGCCCTATTGTAACGCCGAGGTATTTGGCATGATTGGACCAAGTCACTGGATGGTTGTCGAGTAGTAATGGTGGGATGTGAGTAGTATTGGAACGTCCGAAAAGAATACCTACAGTTTTGGTAGGGTTTATTTTGATTTTCCAGCGATGAAACCATGTGGTAGCTAGGTTGAGTTGGTATTGTAATTGTATGGCTGCTCGTTTCGGGTTTTTGTCGAAAGTAAAGAACATAGTGTCGTCAGCGAATAGTGAGAGATGTGCTTTAGGAGTTGTTGGTATGTCGTTAATGTAAGTCAAGTAGAGAGTAGGTGAAAGGCAGGATCCTTGAGGGACGCACAGACGCGTATTTTTAGGTAAAACATGGTCAAAACCGAAAGAAATAAAAATAACTGAATAAGATAACTATTGACGGTAATTTAAAGATTACATATCAGAGTACAAAGTTCAGTTAGATAAACAAGCTTAGTGATGACAAATCGAATAGTAGATACCCAATCTATTTGTTCACCACAACTCGCAAGTGAATACTACAAATAGTGTTTTATAGTTTTGCCTTAATATAATTTTGTTTTACACTTCATATTTAAGTAGTTTATTACATTAAAAATAAAGGTTATTTGTTAGTTATAAAAGATGGAATCTATCCCTGGAGGTAATTATATTTATCGTACTAATTTTAGCAATAAAATATAAGTTACTAAATAGCATATAAAGTGTATAGTTATATATATTTTACATTCCGGATCAAGCGAGATCAACTTAAAATTGTAACAGATTTTAATAGTCATACTTATAACAAATATATTAAAGCAAAAAATATTTGCTAATATCTGCGATATTAGTCAAAATTAATTAAATCATATTAAAAACCTGTAAATATACAAAAAAAAATATTTATAATTTTATTAAATATTTTTATATAAATTACTTATTTTATTTTTACTGCACGTAAACCTATATTTTATAGTTATTAGGATCATATTAAATCATAAATAAATTATTCTTTTAAAACTTATACTATTTAAAAATTAATATTTTATATAGGATCTCGATGTAATGATATTGTTCTTAGTAGAAGAGACTTGTATACAATTTTAAAAGAAGGTTCAACAAAATTGAAACATCCACATGGAAATTATGAACACTTAACAAAATATATACTAGAAATTACTAAATATCCAAATGAATTACCGAAGGATATAAAAAAGGTTTTATCTTATTTTATTTCCCAGTTTAATACCAAATGGTCTGCATCATCTCGAAACGTAGATTATTTAAAAAAAAAAAAATTTTATTGGTTGGAAACTAAAATAAGTTTTCCTATGTACAAAGCTTCTTCATTTTCTTCAAATGATATGAAAGTTAAGGGTGGAAGACCAAAAGTGGATTTCTCTAAGAGTAGTGAACGTACAAAACGTAGAAAAACTCAATTGTTAAGGTCCGAGGTGGGTTCTTTAGAATTATCTTATGCGGCTCAGATGAGTCTCCGTGCAAGTGGCCAGTTAGATGATGCTAATGTGATAAAAGATGTGACATTAACAACACTTAAACGAGCAGAAAAATATAGAAAGGCTTATAAAGAAACGTCAAAATCAGTTATGCCCTACACTGACGATAAAGCACTTTCCCTTATTATAGAAGCAAAACTATCAAAGCATCAGTATAATATTTTAAGGTCTACTGCTAAACTCAATAATTGCAATATTTACCCACCGTATGAAAAAATTACTTTAGCAAAGAAAAGATGTTATCCCGAATCTATGACAATAACTGAAATTTGTGCAGAAGTTCGATTACAAGCATTATTGGAACATACATGCATACGAATAATTCAAACACAAAGTGATGTAATAAATCATTTTTCAGATGAACAACTTAAAAATTTAAAATTAATTTGCAAGTGGGGCTGTGATGGTTCAAATCAAAAGGAATATAAGCAAAAGTTTGAGGACAATAATAGTTCTGATGATAACGTTTTTTTTAATATCGCTTGTCCCTCTTCAATTAATTTACTGTGAAAATAATGAAAAGCCACCAATATATGTATGGACAAATCCACGACCATCATCACCAAGATTTTGTCGAACAATAAAAATTAAATTTATCCACGAAACCACAGAAGTAATTACTATTGAAACCAAGAACATAGAAAATCAAATAGAATCATTGATTCCTTCTTCTTTTATTTTTAATGATCGTGAAGTGGTAGTAAATTATCAATTATTATTTACTATGGTCGACGGAAAAGTATGCAATGCAGTGTGTGATAATAAATCCACGTTAAAATGTTACATTTGCGGTGCAACATCTAAGGACTTTAATGACATTAGTAAAATAACTCGTATAAAAATCGACGAATCGAACATAAAGTTAAATTTTGGGCTATCTATATTACATGCCTGGATACGATTTTTTGAATGTTTGCTTCATTTATCTTACAAATTAAATTTAAAAAAATGGCGAGTATTAGATAGCAAAAGTAAGGAAGTTATTAAAACTAATAAAATTAGAATTCAACAAGAATTTAAACCACAATTAGGACTAATAGTAGATAAACCAAAACCTGGGTTCGGTTCCTCAAATGATGGAAATACGTCACGCAGATTTTTTGAAAATTCTTTCATATCATCTTCTATAACTGGAATAGATGAAGGTATAATAAAACAATTTCAAGTTGTACTTTTAGTCATATCAAGTGGTTATAATATAAATGTGGATAAATTCAAAATTTTTACTCTTGATACGGCAAAAAACTTTGTCAATAAATATCCATGGTATCCAATGTCTACAACTGTACATAAAATTTTAATTCATAGTTCAGAAGTTATATCGTCTTGTATCTTGCCTATTGGTCAATTGTCCGAGGAAGCGCAAGAGGCACGTAATAAGGATTTTAGAAAATATCGTGAGGACTTTTTACGTAAAATGTCAAGAAAAGTTACAATGGAAGACGTTTTCAATCGTCTTCTTGTATCATCAGATCCATATATATCTAGTATGAGAAACCTGCCAAAAAAAGAACTGAAAACTTATTCTAAAGAAGTTTTAGACTTGTTACAACCTCCTGATTATAATTTAGACACCGAAGAAAATATTAACGATTCCAGTTCAGATTCTGAATATAATTCCAGTATAGATAGTAGCGACTAGCGAATGGAAGTTTATTTTTAAAAAAATGTTTATTTATTTTTTATTTTTTGTAAGTCGTATTTCTTATTTTAAAGATAATGAACAAAATCATAAGTTTATTTATAACTTGCTCTAAAAATAAATAAAATTTGCAACTTTAATGAATATTAATGATGTATTATCACCTTGGAATGCTATTTAAGTTATGACCATGTTTTTCCTTAAATACACCACTGTGGGATGCCTGCGAGTATGTGTCTGGTGGACGAGAATGAGTCTTCGATTTTTGTCAGTGAGAAAGGATTCGATGATTTTAACGATTTCAGTCGAGATGTTGAGTTGGGATAGTTTGTAGAGGAGACCGACGTGCCAGACCAGGTCGAAGACTTTTTCCACGTCAAAGAAAATGGAGGCGGTGTTAACGTTGTCGTTAAAGTTCTGACTAAGTTGGTGAGTAAGTTTGGTCAGTTGTAGAGTGGTAGAGTGTTCAGGTCTGAAGGCAAATTGTTCTGGGCGGATTTTGTCTCGAAGATTGGTTTGAAGGTGAGAGAGGATGATTCGTACGTAAATTTTTGATATGGAGGAGAGTAGAGCGATAGGTCGGTAATTTTCGGGAAGTTTGTGATCTTTACCCTGCTAGGGGATGGAAATTATTACTGATTTTTTCCAAGCACGTGGAAAGTACCAAATTCTGAGGGAGCAATTTATAATTTGTGTTAAGGAAAGTAGAATGTTATTCGGTAGAAATTTAAGAGCAGTGTTGGTGATGAGATCGTCACCAGGGGCTTTCTTTTTGCGGAGGTTGCTTATGATTTTTTGGATTGTGCCAGGAGTGGTGAATAAATTAGATTTGGTGATATTTATGTTTCGAAGTGAGTTGGAGTGGGCAGAAACTTCTGGAAGGTGGGGACCAGGGTTTGGTTGGAATTGGAGTTCGAGAGAGTCGGCTTACAACTCGGCTCGATCGATGGCCGGAAAAACTAGACCGTTGGGGCCGGTAAGAGGGTGGGATGCAGGACGTTTGTGGAGGAGACATTTGTTTAATTTGTATATGGAACCGTCCTGATGGTCAAGAGAATTAAGAAAAATATCCCACTGGTCAGTTTTGTGAGTTTCGAGTAAAGTTCTGATTAGTGAGATTTTGGCGTTAAGTTGACGTTTGGTAGTCGCGTCACGGTTTCTTTGCCATTGACGGCGTAACTGGTTTTTTCAGTTATTTCAAGTTTTATGTAGTCAGGTAGTAAAAATGAAGAGTTTTTGTGTTTAGGGGTAAATACGCTAGCTTCGATCGCGTGTTGTATGTTTTTGGTGAGAGTATCAATTGCCAAATCAATTGACCCACTGTTGATGGTCGGTAGTTCAGTTGGGTTTGGTAAGTTGGATAGAATTGTCTTGTATTTTGTCCAGCTAATGAAGCGGTTAGTCGTTGGAGGGGACGATGATACCGGAGTACACAAGGTCTCCAGAAGGATAGGGTTGTGGTCAGAAGATAGCTCGTCGAGGTTGTCGATTTGAGTAGGATAAGGTAGTCGAACGAGTGCGATGTCAAGTATGTCAGGTCTGTATCTAGCGTTTGTCGGGAAGTGTGTGGGGGATGAGGGAGCAGTAATGGTATAGTCCGATTGTTGAACGTGATCAAAAAGTACACGACCGGCAGCGTTTGTCGAGTGGCTATACCAAAGAGGGTGTTTGGCGTTGAAGTCACCTGCCGCAATTTGCCATTCAGCACTTTGGGTCAACAAGTCCAAGTCGTGAGACGTGAGTGTTGCACCTGGTGGTTTGTATACCGCTGATACAAGGACTTCATGGCCGTTTAGTTGGATGAGGACAGAAGAGGTTTGAATGAGTGTGTTAAGAGTTATAGGTTGGTGAATGATGCGTCGGTGGATTAGAACAGCCGTGCCGCCGTGAGCAGGCGAGCCGCGGACGGGTGGCAGATCATTCCTGTATGTGAAGAAGTTTGGTAGAAGGGGGTAGGCGGGTTTCGTTAAGTAGAATTATGTCGGTTGTGAGAAGGAGTGCGAGAGAACGTAGATCGTTGAGTTTGTGTTTGATGCCGTTGGAGTTCCAAAAAAGTATTTTTAAATTACTCATTTTGGGGATAAAGAATGGACAGGAAAGTTTGGATAGTTGTTTGTATGAGTGTTTTGGGGTCTTGATTATTTGAAAGTGCAGTCAGTAGGTTTGTGAGCAGGTTAAGTATTGTTGCCAAGTTAAGTTGTGGGAGGGGGGAAGATGAAGGAGTGTGGGCTGGTTTGGATGTAGCTGCGGAGTATGTCAGTGTAGTGTTTTGTTGGGGGGAGGTGGTGGTGGAATGGTTGAGATTGGTTGAACGGATTGTAGACTAACGGGGTTTTGGGTTGAGGATGGAGATACATGTTGCTTTTGGACCAAGAACTGGGGGGCAGCCACGGAAATTGGCGGTGTGCGAGCCACCACAGTTGCAGCAAGTCGGGGATTGATCTAAAGTTTTGGGACAGTCGTTGGCAGTGTGGTTTCCAGCGCATTTTACACATCGCGGCGGATGACTACAGTTTCGTGAACCATGGCCAAAGCGTTGACATGAAAATCACTGGGCCGGGCTGGAGGGTTTGAGGGGTTCAACAGAAATTTGTAGATAAAACAAGTTGTCTAGGAAAGCAAATGAAATTTAATATTTAATGGTAAGAACATTATCTGTGTTTGTATGTTGGTTTTTTACGATAGTTAAATTTTTAAGTGAGTTATGAGCATTTTTAATTTATGGTATATTGTATACGTATAACTTTCTAAAAAATTTAACTATCGTAAAAAACCAACATACAAACACAGATAATGTTCTTACCATTAAGTTTCATAATAGGTCAATTCACTCTAATTTTCAAACTGACGAAGCTACACGTGTTCTGCTGAGCGTAAATGTGCTATGTTATGCACTTGTAAGACGGAGACAACAAATGTCAGTGTTACATCATCTTAATTCTGTACAATTTAAAAATAACAGTTAATTTTCCTTGGTTAGTATAAATTCAAATTTATTACATTAATTGGTAAATAGGATAACTAAGTATTTAACTTTCAGCGTACCTATTGTGGTTGAATATACAACTAATATTGATCATGTTGTAAATATTGTTAAATTTATTATTTTTATTTTTAAAATCGAAATCATTCATCGTAATATTTGTATTCCAAAATAACAACATTAATTTGATATAAATAACTAACTAATTGTAGTATAGACAGTATAGTGTATAAATATTGAATTATTTTGTCTCATTTATTATATAAACTTTATGCCTATAATTTAACTTATGTTTAGATGTCAACATATGTATATAATTATGGTGGCGGCGGCGGCGGTCGTGGTGGCAGTAAAGCCCCCAACAGAAATAGTAAGTATATATTATCATATGATACCAACTAATTGGTTATTTACTTATCATGGATGTGTTTTAATTTTGATTCCTTTGATTTTCTAGAATGCATAGTTTGTTTCAAAAGGGGGCATACCGCCACAAATTGCGAGTACGCAAGTAGCACAGATGCTGCCGCTGAGGCTTCGAATAGAACAGCCAGGGCAGAGAAGGCCGCAGAAGCGGCCATCTCTCTGGCCAAAAAGTTGAGGGAGGAGGCTGCCCTGGCTGCTCAGCAGCAGCAGCAACCGCAACAGCAGCAGCTAGAGCAGCTACAGCAGCAGCTACAGTAGCTACAGCAGCAGCAGCAACCGCAGTAAATGTAATAAAAAAATATGAAATATAAAAAAAAAATTTATTCGGTGTGTTTTAATTTCCTGATCATCATTACACTTTATTAATTGGAGTTACTAATTTGTAGGTGTCTTGTAATTTAAAGATATGCGTACATATAATGATAAAGATGTTCAAAATTTAAAATAGTGGGATCATATAAAATGTAGTCTTCCACACAAGCTATATTCATAGACAACCTATTTAAAAGAAACAAATAAATAATAAATTTAATTAACTGTTCTCGTGATTTACGGTGCAATTAGACATTTCAAATGTCAAATCCATTGAAAACTGAACTGTGCTGAGTAAAAATTAAATATATTATATATTATATGTTATTAGATTGGTAAACATAATAATACCGGCATTATACATATATTTTTTTTGTCAATTCGCAATAGGTAGGTAGGTACCTAATAATTCGAAACTGTAACGCATTATTCGATAGAAATTAGTAATTACTTTTAAAAAGTAATTTATTCTGATACCACTTGATTTATTCTGTGATATAATATTAAAAATTTAAATATTTTTAAATTAAGAGGCCAGTGGTAATGTAATTTGTTGTTTATTCCAAACCAAACTGATATGATATTTTTCAGCACGGACTAAGATATCTTATTCCGTGTTTTTCAGCCATGATAGTTGTAGTGATGTAAACCGTTTTTATTACGAGCGTCTAGAGACACTGTCTCATATGTCTATGCTATTATCTATGGTTTTAAGACCGTGATAAAATCTATAAACATAACCTCAATTGTATGTCCAACATTTAAATTGGTAACCGTCCCTGACCCTTACCGCAATTATATTTAATAATTTGTTATCAAAATTTAACAAATCACGATTATTGATAAAGCAAATTTCTCTATGTTATTTTCTCAAATTTGTATCATTTTTTGAATATTCATTAAACTGAATATTAATAATACTGTATACATTTCAGCTCTTCTATTAACTTGTTCACCTGGTAAGTTCATATGATTATTAATATTTTTTATATAGAGATCCATTTATAATAATTATTTAATACAATATTTTTAAATTTTGTCTACATTTACATGATAGTATTGACTACATCCTGGAACATCATCATAATTTCCTAGTGAAAAATCTAGATATTCAATATTCCTTGTAAGATTTAATCAAACAATTTTATTTAACTTTATATTTATGGCGTTTTTTTTTATCATTGAATTTATCTTGAAAAAGTATTAATGTTTTTAAAAATATTTTTTTTCATAGTTTCAAGTTGTCAAAAAAAAAACGTTTTTATTAAAAAATCATGTT